AATTTACAATACCTAATATTAAACATTTAAATATCAATGTGCTCTTAAATGGAGAAGAGTTGAGTCTTGTGGATACCACTGTTTTTCTTGGTATTACTATCGATGTGAAGCTCCCCCATATATCTAAATTAGCAGGCAGACTTAGTTCAATAGAATATGCTGTAAGAAAGGTCAGAAGTCTAACCAATGTTGAGACAGCTATATTAGTTTATTTTAGTTACTTTCATAGCGTAATGAGTTATGGAATCTTGCTATGGGGTAATGCGACTAACATTGAAGTCTTATTTGTTTTTCAAAAGAGAGCCGTACGGGCGATTTACATCTTAAATTGTAAAGAGTCCCTTAGAGAAAAATAAAAGGAAATAAACATATTAATTTTAGCATCACAATATATTTATGAAAATGTAATGTATGCACATAAAACATAAATAACTTTCGTAAGAATAATGATGTTCATACTTTAAACACGAGGAACAAACATAAAATACCAGTAACTAAACTCCACAGAATTAATAATTCATTTGCATGCAATGCATTCGCATCCTATGTATACGCTTTTACAACAAAATCCCAGAATATATACATAATTTGTCATTAAACAAGTTTAAATATTTTTTTAAAGAAAAATTGTACAAAATGGTTATTATAATATAAATAAATATATAAATGAAAATAATCCCTGGGAATGAGGTGTTCGCTACCATGCTAGTTCTATAAAAATTCATTCAAAAATTGTAACAAATAAATTTATTGTAAATTTAAATATGTTTAAAAAATCCCGCTGGGGTTTCTTGGTGGTTCTTCCCAGGACAGAGGTTTTTTTTGCAAACCAGTGGTAAATTAAAAAATGGCTTTTAATAAGTATTATATAATAATCTATGTTGAATAAAAAAACCATTCATCACTCATTCATTCGTTCATTCATTCATCATTCATCATCATCATTACAGCCATTCACAAGTCCACTGCTGAACATAGGCCTCCCCCAAGTAATGCCACAAAGCATGGTCCTGAGCCACCTGCATCAATCGACTTCCTGCAAGTCTTACCTGGTCGTCACTCCATCTAGTGGGGGATCGCCCTACACTACGCCTACCGGTACAAGGCTGCCACTCGAGAACCTTTATTCCCCATCGGTTATCGGTTCTTCGAGCTATATGGCCGACCCATTACCACTTCAGCTTACTAATCCGTTGGGCTATGTTGGTCACTCTGGTTTTACTGCGGATATGCTCATTATTGAGTCTATCACGCAGAGAAACTCCGAGCATAGCCCTCTCCCTTCGACTCACATTTATTATTATTATTATTGGTCAACATTGGCAAAACATTTGTAGGGGTGGTTATTATCGGTAATTTTGTTTCAAATATGATATTATTTGTTAGTTTAAAGCTTAAAATATAACATATTATACATGTTGTAATTACCGAAAATAAGACACTCCGGCCGTTAAATTACTTTTTCGGGCATTATTTTTGCAACTTTTAAGTATACATTGCGGCAATGTGAAACATGTTTACATTGGCTGTGTTTTAAGTAAAAGAGATGTATTTCTTGCGCCGACCCGACATCTAGTTGGTATTGTTGATCGAAGCCCTCTCCATAGCTCGCTGAGCGACCTTGAGCGTCGTCATACGGCCAGCGGTTATCATTCACCAGTCATTAACTAATTAATGTCGAAGTTAGAGTGCACGTATTGAACAAGCTAAACTCTTCGTATTTTTACTCGTCTGCGCAAGAATGACTCCACGCGACGACTGAGGAGACATGTGGAGACATGTAGAGGACTATGCTCGAAGTTTCTTTGCTTGATAGACTTAAAAACGAGGATATCCGCAGTAGAACCAGAGTAAATGATATAACCCAACGGATTAGTAAGCTGAAGTGGCAATGGGGCGACCATATAGCTCAAACATAATAAACAAAACATTTTATTAGAAAATTTCATTATTCTTGTTAAGGTACCGTCTCCTTGCGAAGGTTGGCATCCATTAGGGCGATTTCAATTTTTGAGACCGCTGCTCCAAATAGTGATCATGTGCTCTTTCCAAACCACTGGCGCAAGTTTTTCAGCCACGATGTCCTTCTGCGGCCAGGCCTCCTTCAATCTGCCACTTTCTCCAGAATGATAAGTTGAAGAAGTTCATGTTTTTTGGTGTTACGAATCACGTTTTATACGTGGTAGAGTCATTCTGCAGTTATATTAGTAGTAAAGTACGAATAGGTCGGCTCGACCGGGGAAGGACCACGCTCTCACAGAAAACCAGTGTCAAATAGTAGCTCAATGCTGCTGTGTTGCGTATGGTGAGTGTAGAGACCCGGAGACCCTATTTACTGGAAACGAGTCATTCCATCTTAGTCCTCACGGGTGACGCATATGCATTTTGATTCGTAATTACACTTACCATGTACTGTGTGATCGTTTGTAACCCTATCATATAAAAAAAAACGTGCCTAAAATATTACAATTTCCTCCTTTTTGTGGCTGTAAGTATCTCTGTGACCTTCCCCATTTTTTGTAGCATGGTAGTATTTCGTACGCGGTCTCTCCAAGGAATTTTTAGCATACGTCTGTACACCCACATCTCGAACACTTCCAGTTTTTAGACGTGGCTTCTGTCAGCGTCCAAACTTCTACACCATAGAGAAGTAAAGAAAAGACATAGCACCACGCTATGCGTGTTCGATGAGAAATACTTAGGGTCAGGTCACAAAGAACTTTTTTCATTCTTGAAGAGGCGTTGCGTGCCTGCTATATTCTGTATCGTATTTCGAGGCTGTGATTTCCTGTTTCGTCAACCATTGTGCCTAGATATTTGAGATTGATGACCCGTTCAAGACCCTGACGATTTAGGGATAAAGACGTGATAAGCTCAGGTGTTCGGTTACGTAATTTTATTATAACTAATGAAATTGTATGTGTGTGCTTGACCCCTGGATAGTTTAGATTCACAATTGAATCCAGAAGGTGGCTTTGGAATAGCCCAAAGATAACTCTCATACCACACGGGAGATGTGATGCAGTTGCAATAATAACGTTATAATTTTATAAAATGTCATTTCTTAAACGTTACAATTGCTTTTTAGTATCGGTCAGAATGAGCCAACAAAAGCTTAGGGTTTTTTATTAATCCTTATATGTTAAACTCAAAAATAAAGTAAAAACTTCGAAAATAGAAAAAACAACTTTCAAAAAGTTTAAAGTCGGGCCTTAATTATTTGATGGTACATTTACCACAAAGGAGACTAATACGATTGGTTGAGCCACAGACTGTCCCCTCGAATCCCGCTCGAAGGAACCGAAAATGGTGGAGCCAATTGCCCGCTTCTAATCCGACTTGTAAGGAACCAGAAAAATGGTGGGGCCAGTGACCAGAAATGTTTTCAGCGATTGGAGTCTCGGGTTCGATTCCCAAGTCGAGCCTTGACCTTATTATGCGAGATATTACTATGTGGACTGTAAGTGCGGATTCTTACAACCAAAACAAGATGGCCGACGTGGCACGTGTAAGCCTTGGACAATGCACTCGCTATTCCAAATCTACTATTATGCCAGTGTCTCGAAAAAGAGTTCTACTTGAGCCGCTAGGCGTGAAAAATCTGAAGAGGAAAATTAAACGGCTCAAGACAAATTAAAAAGAAGCACTTACCGGGGTGGGGTTTCTTGCGGCCTCAGGGACGATGCTCCTGGTCTTGTGGTGTATTGGAAGCGGTGCGCGACGATAACTCGCACTATGCGTGGTGGTTACTTCTCGAATGTTCTGTGGCGCGATTGCCACAGAGGTGCGGACACAACCAGCGATTCTCTTTGACTACGACTTTCATATATTCTTGGGCCCAAATTGTAAAAAGATGAAAAAGGTGTCAATCAATATATTATATAGGTATTGTCAAAACATCACTGAAATTTCGGCGGATCGTAGCAATCTGGGAGCAAAGTTATATAAGATTTAGTAAACGTGAGGTTTTGCAACAAGTTGGTAATAACATAAACTAAACAGCAAATTTTTGAAGTGCGATCGCTATTTTGTTTTATTATACAGTTGTTTACTATATTTTTTGTGGTATTTATTGTATAATATTGAATGGGAGGATAATAGAAAACTCACTAATAGCTTGAAAAATAGAGAAGGTTACGTGTATATATATTACGTGTATTTGTACGTGGATTGAGTCAAGCAGGAACTGTCACTGTCAGCACAGTATAAAAACACAATTGGCAAACAATATATCGAAATGTAAACGAGAATTGATTTTAAGATTTACATTTATTACATTAATATTATATTTTTGAAACTGTTGACAGTATGTTAAATTGTAATTTATATATATGATAATAACATTGATTGTATCAATTATCCGCTATAAGTCGTTTTTATGTTTAATTGTCAAAACTCATTTACATTAATCCATAAAAGTAATCGATTACTTATTTTGTTCGTGACGTAAACTTATATTTGAGATTTCACTTCTTCCCGATTGTGAATTGGACTAATTTTCTATATTTTGAAATAGAAAAATATAAGGTTTTTTCAAACCATATTTCAACTTATTACAAATAGGCCGGGATACCGGGGTAACACCACGTTCTTACTGAATACCAGCGTAAACTGCAGCTTAATACTGCTGCGTTTCGTATGGTGAGTAAGAGAACCGGAGATCCTTTTTATTGGAAACGTGGCATTCCATTTTATTCCTCAGGGACCATAACGCTCAAACAAAGAGATCAATGTAGACGTCTATGGGTCACAGCATTCACATACCATAAGGTGGACTGTGTGCTCGTTCGTTATCCTTATTCTATATATAAAATAAGATGCGACCATCCTTGATGGTCTATCGATTAAAAAGTCATTAAAATCAGCTCTAAATTTACGTAAGTATTGGATAAATAAAAATAGAGTAGTACTAATAACTTCTTAATTTCTTAAATGAGGTTAAAAAAAAGTTTTGACTATCTTATAACATTTTTATTGATAAATAAAATTTTATTTATATTTTATTCATTTTTCTTCACCAAATTTTCCCCCGTGTTTTGATCGCCGAGATGGGCTTTGATTACTTTCATAACTTTCAACAGGAACCAAACTAGCAGTACTATCACTAGTAGGATATCCAAATTAAGCTTTTTCCATGTTGAAATGTCGACGGCGGGAGATCGGAGGAAGGCAGCGCCGCGCGTGTCAGCTACTAGCTCGATCCAGTGCAGCAGCTCCTTCTGCGGTGAAGCCGGACGCCGTCGGAACAGTGAGGAAGCGTGCTTCGCGTTGATACTGTAGCTGGAACGACACGGGTTTTTTCATAGAATAGGGAATAGGTGCCATAACAATTGCATAACACTTTAATTATGAAAAAAGTATTACACACTCTGTAAATACCAGGAACAAGCACAAGCTACTGATACCAGTTTGTCGATAATTTATTCATGGGCAAAGTAGACATATCTAAAACAAAAGAAATTCTAGAAAATATATCTCTTTATTACCAAGTTTAAATATTTTACTAAACAAAAACTGTATAAAAAGGGTTATTATAACTTTTATTTTTTGTTTTTCGGTTTTCTAGAGAATGCATTTCAGAAAGTGTGCGCATGAATTGCATAATTTTATTCCTCCCTCTCCCTTCCACGATCGGACAACCTGATGTTCGGCCAGTCTCCACCCTTTTGTCGTTGACTTATAAATGCATTCGAACCAAACAGTTTTTCGTCGTTCATCATACGTACAACAAAGGAATAGAATAAGTTCTCGGCACATGTCTTTCCATCCCATTACAGTGTGAGTGAGTGAGTGAGAGTGAAGAGGCTTTTGTTAAGTCAGTGCGCTTCACCATCTTGAGCTATATTACCAATTACCACCAGGTGGGGTTGTACTTAAGCACTGGCCTAGAATATTAAAAAAAATAGTACGTATTTGAAAATAGCCCCTGTGAATGAGGTGGTCGCTGTGTTTTATTGTAAGTCTTACTACCAACGGTTTACAAGAACGCCGGCTGCATTTTCTCGCTGAATGCCTTTTAGTGAGAAAAAACCAGCCTTCTTATCATCAGCAGCAACGACAAGACATGGATGCAGTTCCTTTAGGAACTTCACCGCACCTGGACCCCACGGACCGAAAGTCTGTACAGCATGTGGCGCAACTACGTAGTCATGTCTCAGAGATTCATATTTGCACAACACCGGCTCTAAACTAAATTAAAGAATTCATATACAAATATGAATTAATAAAAGAAGAAAACAGGAAGAACTCTCCCTACATACCTTTGGTTACTCAGTATCTCGTTTACCGCTTTTCGAATTTTTGAAGGCAGTTCATTGTTGAAGTCAACCCTGATCCCACAGCCACTACGAGTCGCAAGGTCCACGTTGACGAACTGATCTCCAAAAATTGGAATCCCAATAATGGGCACGCCATGATGCGTTGCTTCCGTTACAGACAAAAGACCTCCGTGCGTGATGAAGAGGACCGTGTTCGGATGCTCTGTAAACGTAATATTATTATTGTTTAGCGACTCGCCTCGCACCGTGTACCGTGGACTTGCGCTCTAGGAGTATCAACTGCCCCATATGATCCCGCGGGTGTCGTAAAAGGCGATAGACGGAAGCAATTCAGGAAATGGGCCGCAGCGTTTTTCTAATAACGACGTAAAATAAAATTACTGCGGTTGCCAACCCGCTAGCCAAGCATGGCAACTATGGCAAATTTCCCCTATGAGATAGTCTATGGGGCGAACCTATACTCAGCAGTGGACTCGAGTAGGCTGTTAGGGTAACGGTAAAGTTAATATTACATATTATATTTTTATGTATTCAAAAAGGACACATAAAAATTAGTAACTTATCAGTGTTGATTCGTGGCAGAGCCTAGCTGCAGCTATATTACTGCAGCTATGTTATATATTACTGCAGCTATGTTATATATTACTGCAGCTATATTACTGCAGCTATGTTATATATTATGCAGCTATATTACTGCAGCTATGTTATATATTATGCAGCTATATTACTGCAGCTATGTTATATATTATGCAGCTATATTACTGCAGCTATGTTATATATTATGCAGCTATATTACTGCAGCTATGTTATATATTATGCAGCTATATTACTGCAGCTATGTTATATATTATGCAGCTATATTACTGCAGCTATGTTATATATTATGCAGCTATATTACTGCAGATATGTTATATATTATGCAGCTATATTATGAGCTATGTTATATATTATGCAGCTATATTACTGCAGCTATGTTATATATTATGCAGCTATATTACTGCAGCTATGTTATATATTATGCAGCTATATTACTGCAGCTATGTTATATATTATGCAGCTATATTACTGCAGCTATGTTATATATTATGCAGCTATATTACTGCAGCTATGTTATATATTATGCAGCTATATTACTGCAGCTATGTTATATATTACTGCAGCTATGTTATATATTACTGCAGCTATATTAGTTGTAGCACGAATAAGTCGCTCAATCGGGGAGGGACCAAGTTCGCACAGAATACCAGCGTAAAATAGCATAGCATAAATAACATAGCGTAAAGTATAACTGTAGTATGGTGAGTATAGAAAACCGTAGACCCTTTTTACTGGAAACAAGGTATTCTCTAAGTATATATCTATTTTCCGCTGATATTTTGTAAGAACGTGGTGCTACCCCAGTCGTATCACGTATAGAAGTTAAAGTCATTTTAATATCAATTTTTTATTGATTTTCATACCACAGATCGCGTATGATCATTATCAATAATAATAATTTGATATCTGCGTTGGAATTGCATAAGATTAAATCAGTTACGTAAAATAGATACAGCAAAATCTGAATTATTTTATATTTTGGATATTTGCCATTGTTTTAGGCAAATTTCTATTTTTAAAATGTATAAGAGGGACACACGAGTAGACAGTCCACCTGATGGTAAGTGGATGCTATGGGCCATAGACATCTACATCTGTCCTCGATTAAGAATCAAAATGCAGACTAGGTGCTCAGTGGTTAAGGAAAACACCGTGAGAAAATCTACGTGTGATTTTTAAATAAAAAATAAAAATACCTAAAATACTGTCTTGTGGTGCCCAATCTAATATATGTACGTTCTGTGGTAGATCAGCTAGCTGTTCTTCAATTTTCCACAGCACAGTTTGCTCCAATTGTCCAAAAAACTCGATTAGCTCACGTTTCACGTTTTCAGGCAAATCTTTACCCTGTATAATGGATCCCAGGCCGAAATAGATTACCCCTTTCTTGGATTCGTCAAGTAACTTTTTCAGATCCTGAAAACAATTTATATTTTTATCGTCTTCTACAATAGAAACAGCCGTTTTCGTCAAAGACCCTTACGAAAATGCTAAAGGTAAGAGTGTGGTAGAGACCAGACCCACTGTATGGATAAGAGGAGTGGAACTTTTATTCTATGTGGCAGCATAGAATAAAATGAAGTGAAAACTTCTTTACGTTTTTTATATGAAATGAAAAAAAAACATTACTAAAAAGAAACAAACAGACACATATTTAGAATTTATTCTGCAAGAGAATAAGATAGAATATAGTATACTTACAGTATTTCTTATTACCTCATAGACCATTATAGACCAGGAATAAGAAAAAGCAATTGATACCAGTTGCAGTTTAGTCAGTAATTCATTTATGGGGCAATGTACATTATACATACGATATTGTAACATAGTCCCAGAAAATATACAAAGTCTTACTTGCTATTACCAAGTTTATATACTTTGTTAAATATATTTATTTATTTTATTAAACAAAAACTTTATAAAAAGGATTATTATAATATAAATAACCACATAGTTGATAATAACCCCAGAGAATAAGTCGAAGTGTTCGTTTCCAACTTGTTTCTTAAATAAGTTTAGTAAGTTGTTTGTACAACTTGTGTTTTATTGCAGAATTTCACTTTGAAAAAAAAATTCGCTGCATGTCTTGCTGGTTATTTCCAGGACAGAGATTTTTTACGATCCATTGTTGAAATTAAAAATAGACACAATAAAAATTAATTGTAATATTATTGAATAAAATTTATTCTATTCTATTCTATGGAATTTTTTAAGATAATATAGATTATATTTAAAAATGTGTTTACCTTTGGTAGTGGTTTCCGAGTCAAACTTATATGGTGACCTCCGACATACTTAGCGTTGCGAGGTAATGGAATATTCTGACCTAGAGGTGGGTGGGAATTAATAAGGAGCAAGGAGGCATTATATACGAGCGACTCGTACTCCGGTAGAGTTTTCCCACGCAGCTGTAGCGGACCTGCGTATATCTCTCGGTATGCGGGTTCATCAACATAGTTTGTAAAATAGCTAAAACAAAAAGTTTATTATGTTGTTAATAAAATACTATTTTATAGAATATGGGTGATAAAAGAGCACAAAGTCCACCTGATGATAAGTGGACATCTACATTTATACTCGATTAAGAATCATAATGCAGATACAGACCCCAGAGGACTTAGGTAGAATACCCAGGTTCCAGTAAAAAAGGTTTCTAGTTTTCTGAGTAAGTAAGTAGTCGAAAGTTGATGCGATGGCCCGTAGAAATCTACATTTATCACAGATTAGGAATGCAAAATACAGATATTGAATTACAATTAATAAAACTAAAATGACATGGGGTATAATTTATAGTGAATCTGCTAATGTAAAAACTACTCTCGCAATTCAAACTACCAGTTTAAGTTTTAACAACAAATTAAATAAATCAGATCAGGGAGTTGTAATGGTTTTTGAGAAATATTTAATTAATATTCCTATCTTAATCACTAAGTCACTGAATTCTTCTCCTGCCGTCGCCGAATCATTACTTAAACAAAATGTAAATGCGTGTACAAAGAATTTTTCATTTCATAAAGTGTCATCAAAAGATACTCGTATTCTAAAATATTTTACGTTTATTGATATTAAGAAAACCGCCGATCTGTGGGGGATTTCCGTTAAAGTTATTGCGTCTATAATAGATACAATCGCACCTCAACTATCTTTTATTTTTAATACTAGTATCGAATCTGACGTGTTTCCTGATTTAATGAAGCATAGTAAAGTAATTTAATGAAGCGTAGTAAATAATACATTTGACCCCGCTAATTTTTAGACCAGTTTCTCTATTGCCAACACTTGTAGGCGCCGTTACGACAGCACCGACGGTGTTTGCGGGGAGTACGAGAAGCGGAGGGTTTTCTTACCACCGCGCATAAGACCGTCACTCGCCCATAGTTCGCGACCCGATCACCACCAAATTAGTTTATATTTTGATTATTTAAATAAACAATTTGCCTATCGTGAGAGTCGCCTATTTTACAGCTCACTAACAGTCTCCAAGTGGATGCACTTATACCTTAAACATATGAAAATACACAAATAACATGTTGTAATTTTACAACCACGACCCTTGCGATCCGTGATCATAAATGGTCCAGCGAAATCAGTCCCTACTGTAATAAAAGGAAAGTCGGGCATTAGTCTTTGAGCAGGTTTGCCCATTATGTTTTTCATAGACTGACCCTTAAAATGCCTACATACGGTGCAATTATGCACAATACGTCCAGCCAGACTTCTTCTACCTATGGGCCAAAAACGCGTTCTAATAGAAACTAGTAAGGCTTAGGGCCCTAGATGTAGAAGCCGTACGTGTTCTTGTTGGAATAAAAGTTGGGTAAAATGGTGTTTAGGGCTTAACAACATGGGATGTTTCATGTCGAAACTATATTCAGAAGCCTGAATATGACCACCTACTCTTATCACTCCTTCATGTAAAAGGGTTCAGTGCCGAAATGTGCGACTTAGGACTTAGAAAATTTCCCTTTAATAATAAATCGTATTCTTTAGGGAATGCCTCTAATTAGGAAATATAAACTGTGCGATATGTTGAGTTAAGAGGTTTATTAGGCTCGGCGGTAGTTAAGGAACCTGTAGCCTTAGTTTTAGAATTTTTACAGTTATTAATAAAACTATGTACATAGGCTAAAATGTATTGTAATTGTTTTAATTTGGAATATTTATTAAAGTTAATAATTGATTGATAATTATTACAAATAGCAACCGGATGTGCTTTAACTTCCGGCAAATTCTTAATCCCAATAGTCTGCGACTGGATAGAAGGCCAGGCGGCACTACGTTCAATGTAGGGAATATGAATAAAATAGGCGACTCTCACGACAGGCAAATTGTTTATTTAAATAATTAAAATGTAAACTAATTTGGTGGTGATCGGGTCGCGAGCTGTCGGCGAGTGACGTCTTAGGCGCGGTGGTGAGACCCCCCCCCCGCGCTTCTCGTACTCCCCGCGAACACCGTCGGTGCAGTCGTAACGGCGCCGACAACACTTAGTAAATTTTTTGAAATATCGAAGATAAATAAAAAAAATTTAGTGTAAATAATTTACTACATGAAAATCAATTCAGTATCATAAAGAGTCGATCGACAACTGAAGCTGGTGTTAAGCTGATTAAATATATCTTCAATGCACGGGAAAATTCACAGGATGCTTTGGGTATATTCTGTAACCTATCCAACTTCTTCGATTGTGTTCACCATGAAACATTAATTAGGAAACTTCAACACTACCGTGTAAGAAGTGATGCTCTTAAATTAATTATTTCATAATTAAGTAACAGAACGCACAAAGTTGTCATTAATAGTATGAGTTTTTCCGGCTCAGTAGTACAAATGGACATGCCTCAGGCACAAATTCACGGCCCCTTTCTGTTTCTTATATATTGTTACGCGCTCCAATGCCTCAAATCGGCGCACTAGCGTCATCTAGTCTCGAACCGAAGAACTAAACTTCTTGAAGTTTAAAACTCGAACTCTCGGTACCTTGCGCGTGTTTACTTGAACATTCTGGATATTTTGCTAATTTAATAAGTAGGCGCTGCAAGATGCGATCGAGGTAGACTTGAACTCGGCGACACCAGCGAAGCTTCGGAGCGGAATTAAGTGAATTAGTGTGTTTAATCATTAGTGTTTTAAGTTTTAATTTGTGTAAAGTAAATTAAAGTGTTAATTTAGGTAATTTTTATCGGCAATTTTTATTGTCACGAACCTTAAGCTCGTAACAATATATATAAAAGACTAACCGTATATAGCAGGGGATAACCATGATATAGTATTATTTGCTGATGGCACTTCATTAATTATCAAATGAAAACGACAGTTACTAAATTATGACGAAGTAAATTATGCTATATCTAAGTAAGTAAATTGGTTTGATGAATCACACTAAACGCAAAGCTTTAATGGGACCCCATATATCAAAACTATGCAGCATATACTGTAAAAAAGATTAGAACTCTTACCAGTGTTAAAACAGCTAGAATAGTTTACTTTAGCTATTTCCATATTAATATTTCGTATGGTATTTTGCTATGGGGATACGCGAATGACACTAAAATTAAATTTGTTTTACAGAAGAGGGCCATTAGAGCAATCCATGATTTAAAACCTAAGGAGTTCCTCAGACAAAAATTAAGAAAATTAATGTATTAACTATGGCTTCTCAATACACTCATGAAAATGTAATGTACGTACACAAAAATAAAAGCAGTTTTAAAAAAATAAATGATAATCATTCTGTAAAATAATCGGAACAATATATTAGTACCAGTTACTCGACTCCACCTTTTCAGTAATTCATTCTTGGGGCCATGTAAACGCCTTACGATACGATATATTACAACAAAATCCCAAAAAATATACAAAGTTTGACCTGCATAAAGATCAAAATCTTCATTAAAATAAGTTTATATAAAAAGGGTTATTATAAAATTAAGGTAATATATACATATATATATATATATATATATATATATATATATATATATATATATATATATATATATATATATATATATATATATATATATATATATGTGTTTTCAACTGACGAAAAAAAACGAAGGAGGTACTCAAGTCGACCCGTATATTTTTTTATGTATGACCTCGCATACCTCTTTACAGAGTAGTCTGATTTTGATAATTATTTTTTTATAGGGTATTCCTCGAAACTGGTCCCATATAAACTTGAAAAAAAAATTTACCTAAGGGTGGGAAAATAGGGGTGATTTATTACAGAGTAGTTCGATTTTGATAATTCTTTTGGTTATATATATATATATATATATATATATATATATATATATATATATATATATATATATATATATATATATATATATATTATATAGGTACTATAAAATTTAATACAGACACTCAATTTATTATATTTACATGCAAATATATGGATACATAAATATATACATATTTAAATTTAGATATTTTTCTAACGTCATCGGGCAAGGAGTTCCAGAGTAGTGAAGGATTTACCAACAAAATTGGTAAAATGTATTGGGATACTTAGTTTATTATTATATGAGGAATACAGGGTAGTAAAGGGAATTGGAGGTTTCAATAAAACGTAATATAAATTCATTAGTAGTAGATAAGGTCACTGAGCGCCTGTCAACCGTTTCGGTCGACTCCTGAGCAATTATTAACTTTGATAATTTAAATTTGGCGGACTCCGTTCCCGTCCCTGGAGACATCTACATGCTCATCGGAGCATCTGTCTTCCCTCACCTTTTGCTACACAATAAGGTCTGGGGTAACTCCTCGTGTACTACACCTTACGCATTGGAGACCCTTTTGGGTTACTTTATTATTGTATCGGCTCCTACCGCTCATAATGTTTGCCAACCTCTTATTGTTGCACTGCCGCTGTCGAATATCCCGAATTATTGGCTCGGAATTTTCGGGAATAGGAGGAGGGGAAAGTCCTGACTATCTCTATAATAGTATATATATATATACTATAATAGTATCTAAATAGTATATATATATAATAGTATGACTCGGATAATTGACTATGCGAGGGGTCGAGAAGCAAGTGGTTAGAGTCTACTAGTATGAGAACAGGAATAGAGCCTGTTGTAGTTTTGTCACAGCCGAAAGGAACGCCGATTATGGATAGCCCTGGAGCTAGGTTTATAGACATACAACAAATCCATAAGCAGTGTTGTTCCAAAGCGTTCGTCGCATACCTTCACCGCTTATAATTTTTAATAGTTTCGATTCCCTTTGGATATTGTATACCTGTGATTAGATAGTTTGTGTTATTTAAATATAAGTTTGTCTTTGGTAGAATTATAAATTAATATTTGGCTTATTAGAGTTAAATTAGCTTGTTAGTGTTTCATATAAAAAATATAGTTTAGCTACGTCACAGCAGTACGCTGACGCTGTGTTATATTTAAATCATTTTTGTCGTTACAATATGGCCTTTGTAGTTCTAGAAGTGATTAAGTAGTGTT